ATTGTTAAAGAGTAGTGGTGCCGTGGTGGAGACCGGAAAGGGATATAGGGGGGCCTTCCCATGCCCAAAAAAGTACTCCGTATATTGTATATATATATGATAAATATTTATAACATGTAAATTTGTGTTGATGTTTTAAACTTTGATCTCCCCAATAAAAAGTTTCCCAATATAAAGTTTTCGTTCCTGACCATCTATACATACATTTCTGACTTCACCATTAGCTAAAAGTATCCACAACTCCTTTAATAAGAAGTGATTATTGGGCACAAGAGTCCTAGGTAGGGGCGGAGATTACTAGGCCGGACTGGGCCGGATTAGGCTAGTACAAAGAATTTTTTTTGAAAAAAATTTTACAAAATTTTTTACTTTAAAAATTAAGCCATTTTTAATATTTGGGGTGAGTCAGGGCCTAGGTTGGCCCACGCCTAGCTCCGCCCATGGTCCTAGGTGTATTGCTGAGCGGGCTCCGCCATAAGGTGGCAGGACTACTAGTCCACTACTCAGCCATATATTTGAACCATTTTTTTTAAAGAAGCCATATATTTGAACCATTAGAAAATGTTAACTAATAACAAACGAAAATCAGTTATGCATCTAAAAATCTAATTATATCCCTAAATAAGAATGAGAAACAATATCAAGCACTTGAATGATAGGAAGTAGTTTACGTTTACTCAACAAATCAACATGGGGATACCGTTGATATTTCTTTCATTCTTTGGGTCACTGACGATAATGCATGTTTAAATTAGGATGACCCACTTCCACAAGTGTTTGTACTATCCAATATTTTGGTCAGCTACAGAGTATCTTTTGCTGTAGAAATATAAAATTAAAAAATCTTGACTAATTAAGGCATTTGGATACATGCTGTATGTTTATATCAACCATAAATTTATAGTGGTGTTTTAAATGGAATCACAAGTCAGATGCACTTCGTTTTTATGGTGAGGTGAGAAGGGTGCAAGTCCGTGTAACTATCTTTTTGTGGTGTTAAATTTTGATTTTTTCAACTTTGGATTCCTCTAAAATTCATTGCTTGTACATCATTCATTGTATTTACTGTATTTTTTTGAGTGAGCTTTCTAAACCATTACGGAGTACAATATAGTCCCTGGAATTTTACACTATTCACATGTTCTACTTTTATTGTGCTTTATTTATTAATATACTTTGATTTGTTTCATCCTAAATTTTCAAAATCTGAACTTTTTGTTTTTTACCAAAAAAAGAATTAAATATACTAATGGTCAAAGTTGTGCATCAGCAAACGCGAAAAATTTATTGTTGCATTTATTTAAGAACAGAGGTAGTATATTCAATGTTAATGTTATATAAAGCCAACAACATCCTCAAAGTATGGTTTGATTGGAATACATGATCTCCTCATTAAGAGTGTCACATTCGTTTCTACGAACCACAACGCACTTGGTGTGTGTCATTTCACTTTATCGCTTGGGAAATTGCCAGTTTCTATGTAAGAGAAATAAATTAATTTTTAAAATTTAACTTCAGCAATCAACTTAACTATCAAAAGACTTAATTTTGCGTACAAAATTTAATCGAAGAAACAAATAATACGAATTTAAAATATTTTGAAAACAATTTAGCTAAAATATAATACTACGTATTTTGAACTATTCTCCTTATATAGTATTATTACGTAGTATATCTTTCATTTTCAATCTAATCCCACTGATATAATTTGTTTGCACCCCATTTTGTTGTTTAAATTTGATTATGCACCCCGTTTTTAAAAATATCTGTTTTAAAAAATCTTTTTTTTTTTAAAACGGGGTGCAAACTCAAGGTTTAAAAAACCCCAGTGTAGTTAAACTTGTGTTGAGCTAATTAAATTCAATAGTATTGAGCCTTCAACATGCACTACCACATATAGCTTTAATATTATAATTGTTCTGTCAAAGGTCTCCTTGGAAGATTTGAACCTATGACAAGAAATACTTGTCTCACATATTTAAAGTATACGGATGAATCAGATTTGAAGGGATAAAATGCATGAATCTGTATGCATGGTTTCATAATCTTTTTGGATATCTTTATACTGGTCTTTATGCATGTCACTTCTCGAACAGATAAATCAAATGGATATCTATCACCTCTGGAACTCAATTTTTTGAATGATTCTCTTTTATTTAACAGCCTTGCATTATCTTTATGGATGAGATTGATGCAATTGGTGGAAGACGTTTTAGTGATGGAACAATTGCTGATCGCGAGATTCAGAGAACACTCATGGAGTTTCTTAATCAGATGGATGAATTTGATCAGCTTGGGAAGGTATAATGCAATATCTGTTCTATTTTCTTGTGGATAAAATGTTTGATCAAACTGTAGAATTATGCAACTTTTAGCAGGATGATATACGTTCCCATATTTGTCAGCACGATCATGGTATAAAAGTTGAAATGCCTAATAGTATATGTATTTAACTATTTATTTTGACAAATCTCTTTTGTAGGTGAAAATGATAATGGCAACAAATAGACCTGATGTTATTGACCCCTCAATTCTCCGACCTGCACGTCTAGACCTGAAAATTGAAATTCTTTTGCCAAATGAGCAGTCGAGAATGGAAGTTCTTAAAATACATGATGCTGGAATAGCTAAGCATGGTGAAATTGATTATGAAGTTTTTGTTAAACTAGCAGAAGTTAGTGTCTAGAATATATGATGTTTTAATATGTTCTTTTCTTTGATTTTTACACAATTATGAAGCTGACCTACGGAATGTATGTACTGAGGCTGGAATGTCAGCTATCCGTGCAGAAAGAGATTATGTTATCCATGAAGACTTTAAGAAGGTAGCCAAATTTTAAATCTTCTCATGGCAACTTTGTGATTTATACTATTGAAAAAAGCTTATAATCTCCCTCTTTAATAGAATGCCAGTAGAACAGATAAGATATAATTATAGCTATCTGTTAACTATATGATGTGTCATTTTTAGGCTGTCCGGAAGCTCAACGAGGCTAAGAAACTTGGATCTAGTTCTCACTACAATTCAGATTTCGGAAAAGACTAGTTGAAAAAAATGTTTCTTATTGAGACTTGATAGAGACCCTAGGGAGAGGTGTATGAGGATGTAAAAAACAGTGTCATATGGTGATTAGAACTTAAGCTGATGCATCAATAGAAGAAGACAACTCCCACCATGCCCTCCAGAAATAGTGTAGTTTGCACATACATGGCTCTTTTCTGACATGGGATACTTTGTGTTTTTTTTTTCAGGTTTTGAACATCTGGTGTTCTTTTGATCGAGTTAATACACTTGTTTTTTATTGCCTTCTACATTCCCATGTGTGTGCATGGTAACGACTAACCAGTTGGCCAAACAAGATTTCGATAGCTTAAAACTGCATTGTGATGTTCGTGCCATTTGTGATGTTTGGAGCAGAACGTGTAATATCAAACATTGGCAGTGGCTATTAAGAGGCCCTCCTTGTTTGGTCTGGTCTGGTTGGTTTCTTTGTATTTTTATAACTATCCAAGTCTGGTCTGGGACGAATTACAGTCCAAGTAAAAACATCTTAACTGTATTGATCTTATAGTGTACTTGTCGAGACTAATTCACTTGATATACTTATCTGGATGAATTGGTGTTATTAAACGCTTTTTCGTGCAAAATGATTTCGCTTGTACCACTTGAACCAAATAACTCTTGCTAATGAGCCCTTAAAGTATCAGTTATTCTGTTTGGTTTTGACCGTCTATTCCATGTAGACTGCGATACGGTTTTTACTGGAAACTGAACTGTTTGTAGCTGGTCATATTTCTGTTGGTTTTCCACCTCCTTCACGATAGAACCAGACTTGCTGTAATGGATTTTGGTACTATTTGTTGTTAAAATAGGCCATGTTATCACTTAGTACCGGGATCAGATACAAAACTGAACGTGTATTTCTGGTTTTGGATATAGTTTCTACTTTCTAATGGTCATAAGTGACTCATGTCCAACCCTTCCATGTGAACCCAAGCACAAGAAATGCAAAACAAGAAATAACATTTGAAAAGTAAAGTATCTGTAAGGAAAGTTATGCCAAGGGTTTAAGATTATATATATTGAATAAAGTTAGAAACCTAGAAATAGTCTCAAGAGTTGTAGTGAATCATATGTAACAATAACTCTTTTGCTAGTAGATGTATTTTATTTTTATCAACACTGCCATCATTGTTTCTTTGGATTGAAACTTTTGATTTTATTTTTCTTGGATAATTTGTATGTGAGCATTCTTAGAATCTTGTAGAACCAGAACGCACTGACAACCAGCAGCCCAACAGCCATTGCCTGTACACAGAAAAACATAATCTCAACTTGTTGTAGTAACAACCCATTATAGTAGGAAGTATCACTACCTTTGTTCTAAATATCGTTCTAGGCGTCCGACTAGTCCCCGCCTAGGCGCTAGACGGTGTCCGGGCGCCCCGATTTTTGTCTAGGCGCTCCGACTAATTGATTTTCCGTCTAGGTGAATTAGCCAGCCGCCTGTGGCGCCTAGTTGCCCGCCCAAAGCGCCTAATCGGCCACCTAGGCCGTCTAGATTCGCCGAACATTACTTTACTTTTTAATTTTCTAAGCGATAAAAGTACTTTAACATTAGCCACAGATTTAAAGAAAAGAAGTTGTAAATTAAGACAAAAACTATATATGTTTGTATATATACCTAAAATTTATTATTATTTGTATTTATAACATAATGAAGTTAAGTGGTTAGTTATCATATACCGTGTATGATTAAATGTGATAATTCTACCATTCATGTTTGTTAATGTATGTGTATATATGTATTTTATACACACAAAAATACAATAATACTTATCACATTTATGCAAAAATATAAATAAAAATGCAATTTCTATGTATCCGACTAGTCCCCGACTAGGGCGCTAGGCGCCAGGCTGGCGCCCGACTAGCGCCTTTTATAACATTGATCACTACTTTAAATAATTCATCAGAGAAGATGATAGTGACCTAATACCTTGATTAGAATGGGATTAGTGGCAGATACAGTGACATAAGTGAGGTAGGATCCTACTACCATCCTGCCAAAGGAGAAAATGACTGCGAAGCAAATCTGTGAAAAAAGCACCATCGGATATTTGCAATGTACACATTCCACTGTAAGTCTCAATCAGGGTGCAGTCAGGAGCAAAATTGGAGGGAGCCAGTATAAAGAATTTTTTAAATAAAGTTTTATGCACATTTTTAACACTAAAGATACAAATATTTTTTAAATTTGGGTGGACTGGAGCCCGATTAGTCCCCTCTACCTCCGCCCCTGGCCACAATGGCTTATGATCAAAAGCGAAATAAAAAAGTAGTTTCCAGAACATAATGCAGTTATTGTTTAGTTTGGTTGTTTAACAAGTGTGAAAATAAGGCATTTTTTTGGGTACCAAATTGATTATTTTTTCCTCTTATGGATGGATATTTTTCTCTTGTATAATTGAAGCTAACAAATCGCCCAACTATCCATTTGTTTCCAAACAGCCACACAGAACACATAATTACCCTCAATATTATTATTTTCAAGGATGGTATACAACATGGGATCTACACTAAACACCTAAGATTTTAAAAAGTTCTTGAACTCACATCTGCAATAAGATTAAGGATGGTGTCTCTATAACCTAGCTCTTTGAGAAGCTCCCTCATATGGAGAAAAGGACTGGAAACTTCTGTTATCCACAATGCTGCCACCATCTCTGATCCACACTAAACATGTCCCCAATCAACAACAGATTAATTAATAAGTAAACAAACCTAGACAATATATTGAATTCAACTTACCATTTGATATGCAATTCCAGCTCCCATCCCCACAATGGTGACCAAATGGTGCACCAAATCATCCATCTTCAATTTGTTATATGATAAACAACATCCCATATCATATATCATGTAGCCAACAGTGATTGCTAAAATCCTCATCTGCAGTTAGATTAGATGAAGAATAAGTTGCTAAATTAAAGTTGTATACCAATCTCGGAACTAATTAAAGCTCAAATTTAGTCTTATAAGGACTATAGATTATTCATTAATTAAACTCAAATCTATTTTATACTTAGTACTATGTACTACCTATGTCCCATATAAAGGTTCTCGTCTACTATTTTCCATTCAACATAAAGTCTTTTTAATGTTATTTACTAAAAAAATATAATTTCAGACACAGATTAATCTACTTTATGATTAGTCAAATATCGTAAACCGTATGAGAACCTCTCTATATGATGGTGGAAGTATAATTTATATAATAATTTGTTATGACATTCAGAATAAACAAAAATAATATGGGAGTTGATTTTGCACCCCACTTTTTGGATAATGTTTGACTTTGCACCCTCATCAGTCATCAGTACCAGGGGCGGAGATAGGGGTGGGCCAACCTTGGCCTTGGCCCAGCCCAAATTTAAAAAAATGTCTTTATTTTTAGTGTAAAAAATTCCGAGCAAAAAAAATTTCAAACAGATTCTTTGTGTCGGCCCAGCCCGGCCCATTGCCCTGGCTCCGCCACTACTCATCACATATCATTTTGTGAAGAAAAATTTCTAAATGGGTTGCAAAGTCAAAGAATTTTTAAGTGAAATGAAGTGCAAAATTAAAGTTTTTTAAAATGTAGTGCAAAGTCCAATATCACCCTAAAAGTGGGGTGCCAAGTCAAACTCTCCCAAAATAATATCATTCTAAATGTATAAATTAAACTATTTTTAGGGAGTACTACGTACTATTTTAAATATTCTCACGAAATAGAAAATTTTATCCTCAGTGTAGTGATCACTTATGACTTATCATGTGTATTCATTTACCTGGTGAGGGGTAGACTTGGAAGCGAGGGGGCAAAAGGGGCAGGACCAGTCATGAACAGAGAGAGTAGCCAAGGTGACGGCCAATGAAGCATGGATGACAGAAACAGTCCGGTTGCAGAAATTGAAAGAGCGCTTGGAGAGAAGCTTTGTGGTCAACAAAAAGAGCGTTGACCATGAAAACACACTCAAAACCACTGTTTTTATGATATTCTCTTCTTCTTTGCTATGCAAGAAAGAATGGCTGAAATAAGCTTCTGCCATCATCAGAGCCTTAAGAGGATGTATGATGATGATGATGATACACCCTTTTATGGGATATATGTATATATACTGGAAGAGGAAGATGATGATTATTACTAATTAAATGTAAGTGGTTCAGATGATTACAAATAAGTCTCTGTTTCATAAATTAATGGTTTGAAATATTGGTTGAGTAGTTAGTTGTATACATAGCCCCCAGATTGTATTTGCTGTGTAACAAACTGTCCCACATAATTAAAAGACATGGACTTCCTACTTGCATTGTTCCATCTGCCTGTCCAATTGTCTTTGAAATTAAAGCCACACACCCCTTTGTCTTATACTCCGTCCGTAATATTCATATCTTCCCACTTTCCTTTTTTGGACGTAACATTTATATCTTCCCATTTCTAAATCTTCTCATCATACCCCCAATAATTTAAAAAATAATACACTACTACACCTACTTTTTTTGGATTTATCCTTCATTCCATCACATTATTTTACCATCTTCCCATCATACCCTCAATAATTCATACCACATTTCACTATTCTTAATCTCACCCACTTTGGAAGTGGGAAGATATATGTGATACGGAGGGAGTACTACCTTTGTAACTTAAAAACCTTCCCATTTCAAGAGTAGGTAGATTAAGAATAGTGAAAGAAGATATGAATTATTGAGGGTATGATGCGAAGATAGGAGAATAATGTGATGGAATGTTGGATAAATCCAAAAAAAGTAGTTGTAATAGTGTATTATTTTATGAATTATTGAGGGTATGATGGGAAGATTTAGAAATGGGAAGACTTTTTTGTTACGAACGAAAAAGGAAAGTGAAAAGATTTTTAAAGATTGAGTATATATAGAATCATCAAAGACAAGAGGGACTCTCAATCCGATTTGGTACTTAAACCCAAACGCATATATATATATATATATATATATATATATATAGAGGAATGTTCATGTCAGGCCGGCCTGACGGGCTGCCCCGTCCGGCCGAGCCCGTTTGGGCACCTTCCCGGTGGAATTTTTTGATGAAATTTTTTGAGCATGTTCCTCATCAAGTCTAGTTTGTCCATACCAAATTTCAGCTCAAAATTCGATCGGGAAGGTCGTCAAATGATTTTTGCAAGTTAACTGGTCCGGAATATGTATTTTCCGTACCAGTTAACGTGCAAAAATCATTTGACAACCTTCCCGATCGAATTTTGAGCTGAAATTTGGTATGGACAAACTAGACTTGATGAGGAACATGCTCAAAAAATTTCATCAAAAAATTCCACCGGGAAGGTGCCCAAACGGGCTCGGCCGGACGGGGCAGCCCGTCAGGCCGGCCTGATGAGAACAGCCCTCTATATATATATATATATATATATATATATATATATATATATATATATATATATATGTAGTTTACGATTTACACGTTAAATTTTTACACGGGAAATGATTGTATGGAAAATTTAGGAAAGTGGTCACTTTGAATGCAAAATACTCTTTAAATTAAAGAGTGATTGTTTGCCTAAATATGTAATTTATTTTTATGTATGTAAAGGCACGGTCTTTATAAAAAGCATGCAAAATACTTTATCACGTCCGTGCCCACGCAAAACACTTTACATGATATAATGCGAAATATTTTTTTTAAATGTCTTACAATTTACATTAAATCAAGCCAAACGATGTAACTCTTTTACATCCCCACACTTCATATGCAAAATACACTTCATGCAAAATAATTATTTTTATATCCTATCAAATGCTCCCAAATACAAAGTACGATGTTTATACCGTGAAGTCTGCATATGCATACATTATTTGTAAACACGGTTCTGTGCATATCAATGTTCCTTGTACAATGGTATATAAGCTTCATAAAAGTATGCATATAAACACTTTAAAAGTATATCGTCTTATTAGTGTTTGGAATTGATTTTGCTTCAGAAGATGGCCTCCCCAACATCTAAAAAATTGCATCTATGATCAATTTGGAGCACTCAGAAGTGCTTCAGCACTTTCACCGAAACACTCCAATATTTACTTCTTTTATAAGCATGTTCCACTAAAGATAGTTGCACACTTGCACGGACTTGCACCATCCACTTGCTAAGAGTATCCACGACTCCTTTAATTAGAAGTGATCATTAGGCACCGGGCACAGATGGGTCCTAGGTGGATTGCTGATCGGGCTCCGCCATAAGGTGGTGGGCTCCGATCCACTATTCGGCCATATATTTGAATAATAAGAAAATATTAAAATTATAACAATGAAAATAAGTTATATGGCTAAATTTGTAATTATGTCTCTAAATAAGTGAAAAACAATATCAAGCACTTAAATAACAGGGAGCAATTTAAGTTTACTCAACAAATCAACATGGGGATACCTCATACCATTGATACTTCTTTCATTATTTGGGCCACTGACGGTTTTGCATGTTTGAATTAGGATGACCCACTTCGCGCAACTAGTGTTTGTACTTGCCACTATTTTGCTTAGCTACAGAGTATCTTTTGTTGTACAATTATAAAATATTAAAAAATCATGACTAATTAAGGCATTTGGATTCATGCGTCTTGTATCAACCATAAATTTATAGTAATGTTTTAAATGGAATCACAAGTCGAAGGAACTTTGTTTTTATGGTGAGGTGATGAGATCGGTGCAAGTCCGTGCAACTATCTTTTCGTTGTGTTAAATTTTGATTTTTTCCAGCTTTGGATTCCTCCAAAATTTCTTGCTTGTACATCATTGTATTTATTGTATATTTTGAGTGAGCTTTCCAAACCTATAATATACTACGTATGTTCTCTGTTATATAGAGTCGAGATTCTTAAAAGATGATTGGATTAGAACATGTGACATTCTTATTAAGAGCATCCACTTTGAGGAGGTCATTGGGGATAAAACAAATGATCCCACTTGATCCCCACTATAGGTCATCAAGTGATCGATCAAAATGGAAGGTTAAGAATGAGAGCTGACAACTTATTTGTGGGACTAACCAATTAGAGAAAGTCAAGTGACATTTTACTTTGAACCAACCCCATCAACTAGCCCCAACTCCCTAATTTCATTTACTATGCATTAAATTTAATTTATAATAAAAAATTTATATCAAAAAATTAGATTTTTTTCCTCTATACATAGACACCAATGAAGGATACATTTAGTTACTTCGAAATTTATCATTTATTTCCTTCTTAGCTTGCATCTTATTTTATTTGTTTTAGAACATTTTTTCATCTGAATCAAGGATATGTAGCATTTTGTTTACTAATATGCTTATTTTTATTTTTTACAATAAATAATTACAGTGGATCAAATGTGAATTTTATACGGAGTATTCCTTTTTCAAATTAAATCAATATATATATATAAAAGAGGAACTTTTTAAGAGCATACAAAACGCCACATAATCCTTCTATGTCATTATATAAAAGATTTTATTAGATTCCTATTAAAATTGATATATATATATATAGACGTTCATCAATATATAATAAAAATGTAAAAATGTTTTATTAGCTTCCTTTTACGTATAAGAGATTCTCCTCTTGTACGTATTAGATTCCTATCAACTCATTAAATTTAATTTTAAAATAATCAATATATTTTCATACCTTTTATTTTTATTAGATTCTATTTTTGATTGCATATTAATATGGAAACAAAAGATCATAGGAATCCACCTTAATTAATTGAGAATATTACCCGAAATAGGAGTAAAAAAGTTTGAAAATTCCAAAATAAGATTGTCATATTTTTATTTGAAAAATAAGACTAATTACTACCATGTTTTGACAGCACTAGACTTCAAACATGGCATTATTTTTCCAAACTCGGTAGTAATTACTCGTATTTTGGGAATAAAAAACATGACAGTCCTATTTTAGAATGTTGGAACATTTTTAGTCCTATTTCGGGAACTTTCCCTATTTAATTTGATAACTTTTCAAAATCTTTTACGTACTCCGTATTTGAGAAGTATTAAATTTAGTAATTGGAACCACAACATTTAATAACCAAATTTTAAGCACTGGCTCACGCAGTAACAATCATGTAATTATTTTTATACTTTTTTATTTTTTACTGCGTATTACTCAATACATTCTATTGAAGAAATGAAATATCCGTTTTTGCCCACTTAATAGATAAATCAGCCAAATTGCAATTAATTTTGTCTTCAAATTTATTTGATAAAAAAAGGTGTGTCCCATTTTCTAAAATGTAATATTTTATTTTTCTAAACTCAATGTTGAGATAATGATCAAAATATTCTTTTTTTTGAAGAGGTAATGATTAAAATTCTAAGCCCCAAAAGCAATTGTGTTAATAAGTAGTACTTCGTATTTTTCTGCATCTTCATACAATTCTTTTTAAATATTAACATTATGATGAAAACGATAACCACCATATTCTTGAAATTAAAAATGAAATTAATACTATTAGATATTCAAATGTGTGTGTGTGTAATCTCTTGAAAATAATACTTGTGATTAAGTAGCTTATCTTATTTGATAAGGATAAAAATTGATCTCTCTCTCTCTCACATGTATGTATGTATGTATATATGTATATGTATATTCACAAGTAAATACGTTTAGCCTATATAGCCAAAAAAAGTAAATCTGTTTGGTTGTTTCTTTATTTTTACAACTATGGTTTAAATATGCTTTCACTTATGAAGTATTTTCCAAATCCAAATTTGAAATCTTTATAAGTTTACAAATTCCTAATTTTATTCAATAGTATTTTTATTGAATTGATTTCAGTTCCACACTAAATCAGATCATGTCAAACTTTAATAATTCTAATAATAATAAGTCACATACATAAAACGTAAAACAGACATCTACCAGACCATACTAATTCAAACCAAATCAAACCCAAACTTTAAATTCAATCAAAAATGTTCTTATTAATGAGTAAAATGTAAGATCTCACTATTAAAATTTAAAATTATGTATTTCATACCAAGTTGAGTGAGAAATATTAGAATAATGTTATTTTGAAGTGCTCAATAAAATAATTTAGACGTTCATAACAATTGAAAATTGTTTTCATTGTAACAAAATAATGAGTAAAATGTTAAAAAAAACTCAATTTTTTACATTCTCAGTGTGATAAAATAAAGAGTAAAATG